CGAGGGTCACCATCTCTCTCTCCGTCGCACGCAGCGTGAGCGAGGGTCACCATCTCTCTCTCCGTCGCACGCAGCGTGAGCGAGGGTCACCATCTCTCTCTCCGTCGCACGCAGCGTGAGCGAGGGTCACCATCTCTCCGTCGCACGCAGCGTGAGCGAGGGTCACCATCTCTCTCTCCGTCGCACGCAGCGTGAGTGAGGGTCACCATCTCTCTCTCCGTCGCACGCAGGCATCCTCTCGTTCTCGCTGTTTGGTATGCCGCTGGTAGGAGCAGATATCTGTGGCTTTGCACACGACGCCACGGAGCAGCTATGTCAGCGATGGACCCAGCTGGGAGCCTTCTATCCATTCGCAAGGAACCACAATGCCAAGAATTCTCAGGTAAGCAACCAAGAGCAAGATAATGAGACAATTTATAATAGGTTTTTTGCAATATATTTTTTCAATATTAATTTTTTTCTCATAAAAATTGTGATGTATTTACTATAGTTTTAATAATTTACATTTATTCATATTTAATATATATGTTTGTATAATCAACGTCTAATGGATTGAAGAGCCTGCTAACATTTAGTGCCATTAACAATGGGGTATTTGCAGAATCAACCTGTACCTCAACCAAAGAGAAACAGAGATGTAACCGTTCTATAAAGCCGGCAGAGGGATAAATGATCAATAGTGGAATTATTACAAATTGCTTTACTGGTATTATCGTGGGTTTGTGCATTATTGCTGTCATGCTTTACTGGTATTATCGTGGGTTTGTGCATTATTGCTGTCATGCTTTCTCTGCCAGGCACAAGATCCTACTGGGTTCGGAGCAGCAATGCAAGGTTCCGCCCTGAAAAGTTTGCAAACTCGCTATCGCCTCTTACCGTATCTCTACACTCTATTTCACCTCGCTGCCACCAGGGGAGAAACGGTGGCTAGGCCATTGATGTTTGAGTGAGTAAAATTGTTGTCTTTTGTAAATGTATTAAATTCAACAGCAGTGTGTATGTGTAATGCATAAACAAATTAACTCACCAAGTCAAATACACAAAAAAACAGAAATTTAAAAACAAAACCAGATTTAAATGAATTTAGTGTATCTGTAACGTATAACTGTCTCTCGGCATCTTGCTGAATATTTTTAGGGTATTTAGGCATCACCACTAGAATGAGCACAAAATGGTGATATAAATAACTGCCATCTTGTTTTGTCCCTCAAGGTTTCCCAAGGACAGTAAGACATACAGCGTTGATGAGCAGTTCATGTGGGGTGCAGCTCTCCTCATCTCACCAGTTCTCAAAGAGGTGAGAGTGATACTCAGTAAACCAATCCCCGCCACTCTTTATCAGCAGCAGCTTGCAACGATCTCATCATGGAACGATCTGTCGAACAGATGACAATAGCTCCTGTCACTGTCACTATTGTCTAGTACGACAGCTCTAATCTCATTGTCATCATCATCATCATCATCATCATCAGCATCATCATCATCATCATCATCAGCATCATAATCATCATCATCATCATCATCATCATCATCAGGGTGCCATATCCATAGATGTCGGCTACCACAGATCGCCACTGTGTTCTATCGTTCGTCGTCTGTAAGAGACTGTCAGCAGCATGTCTCCCTCCAACATTCCTCACCGGACTGTCCATATACTTACGCCGTGGTCTCCCTCTTGGTATTCTACCTTCGATCTCGCCGGTCGCACATACACTCTCCAACTGCTGCTCTCTCCTTATATGACCACACAGTGCAATACAATACTCACACTATTGTCTAGTACACTACAACACTAGTCATGGTCACAGCATTATTGGTTATATTGTTTGTCAGCACGCTACCAGCGTGAGGGCGTACCTTCCACGCGGCATCTGGTACGGATTCTACTCTGGCTTCTCTCTGCCGTCTAATGGCAGCTATGTTAACGTGGACGTGCGAATGGATGAGACGTGCCTGCATGTACGGGGCGGTCACATACTGCCCACACAGGTGCCTGCTAGCACGACCACGGAGAGGTGAGAACCCAGGCTCTACTCCTCATTAGTTAGTAGTAATTATGGTAATTCATTAGGGAATTGTTAGGTAATTCATAGCAGCTTCGTTAATTAGCGTGACAGAGACAGCTAGAGCGGTTGTCGAAACTTTCGGTGTGTGTTTGGATTCATATTAAAATATCTACTATCGATCTATATAGTATATACTATCGTGAAGTCTGATGAACTTATTTCAAGATTTAATTATTATTCTATTTTGACGAAATCATAAACTGCTTAATTTCGTGAATATATGATAATAATATTGATATATAATAATGATAATAATGATGATGATGATAATAAAATTAATAATAGTAATAATAGAGGAATATTTTGTATCTGCTTCAAATCAGAACTTGACAGGTTACTGAACGCACATACGTGAGACACCGAAATAGAAATGTTCTTATTCTTTAATTTTCTTTACACTTCAGTCGACAGAACAAGTTTGGCTTGCTAGTGGCGCTATCTGAGCGTGGCGAGGCTGAGGGTGAAATGTTCTGGGACGACGGGGAGAGCATGAACACACATCACACCGGCGTCTACAACGCAATACGCTTCAACGCGACAAAGGTTGATTTTTTACTTCTAAATGCTTGTCGAAACACGTATGGACACTAGTCAAAATTGGCGCCGGTTCGGTGAAAGGAATTGCCATGGATGTTTGTTTGGTCGGTCGTTCACTGAGATTAATCTTCATGTTTTTATTCCGTCGTCTAGAATTCGGTCGCGTCTTGGAGCGTCCACGCCGGCTACAGTTCGTTGATGGTTCTCGGATCTATAGACGTGTTCGGTGTTTGTGAACCTCCCTCAGCAGTGTTCGTCAACGGTGCCGAGGCGAAGTTTATCTACAGTAGCTGGAGCAAGGTAACGCATCGCGACTAGGCTGGGCTGTGAGGTCCATAGTCCTCAGGCAGTGAGATAACAATAGATAGTGTTATGAGGGATATAATCTGTTTAATATATCTGTACTCCAAATACCTCCAGTTTATAAAATCGTTAGATTTACACGTTTTACGAGATGCATTCAGTTTAAGGAATTTTTGTTGATCGTTGCACACACCATCTGTGTTAATTAGACTGACTATCTGTGGTGACTCGCCCTCTAATAGGTCAAACAAATGTCATTTAGAACTTTTGTTTCTGGTTAGAACTAATTAATTTCTGATACTATAAGTTTGGTTTTTTTCAAGGTTTTACATGTTGAGGATATGGATTTGGACTTTCTGCAAAAGATCACTGTTAACTGGTCATAGCCTGGCAGCAGTCAAAGAGAATTAATTTTATATCTCACTCCATCAATACTCCTGATTTCATATATTATATGTAAAAAATTAAATTAAATACTAGCTCACTAAATTATTTACAATTCTAGTTATATAATACCAATTTTTTACCAATATTTTACACATGGTCCCTGTGAATTGTATTCAATCTTAACTATACAGTTGTTTGATTTAGGTATGATTTCTAATGAGTATATCATATTGATTAGGCGATGATCTTGGGATATGGTTGCAACATAAATATCTGTGATATCTATTAGTGATGATTGTGAGTATTATAATCATCTGTGACAATAATAAAATAATGAACACGTTCTGCATGTTGTATAAAAACTAATACTTTTAATACGTTTAACCTTCTCTTTAGATTTCACAATTCGTGTTTTAAGTCCACGATAGTGCCACATTTTTGTGTGCTCCACTACTGGACTTACGCCCGTGGCTCCTGGGTGGAGCATAGGCCACTGATAAAATTTTGCCACCTGTTAGCGATGTGCTATTTACCGCTATATTCGCTCGTAATTTCCATGAATTTCCGTCGTGTCGTGAAGTTTCATGATAGTTTGGAAGCAGACAGTTCGCTCCCCGCTGCCGCCACACAAGCTTTGCTGCTGGCTTCATCTACTAACGTCGCCACGGTATCACTAGAATTGACGTCTCTACCTGCTTCCACGTTACTCTTATCATCTTCTCTCTTAACATCATTCGGATCATCGTCACCAGCTCCGGCACCCTCAGAATCATCATCACTGTCATCATCATCATCATCATCATCATCATCACTATCATCATCATCATCATCATCATCATCACTGTCATCGTCATCGCTATCATCATCATCGCTGTCATCTTCTGCTTCCCTGATCCGCAGCCTCCCTGCCTTCCTCGTCAGCGCTGCGACGTCGCCCCCGGCGTCCCGCTCCGCGATGCAGGCCTGCGCCGCCGCCTCCAGCTCCTCCGCGATGCAGGCCAGTGCCGCCGCCTCCAGCTCCTCCACATCTAATCCCATCCCTGCCTTCGTGAGCGTGGTCGACGCCAGCGCTGCGGCGAGGGAGGTGAGGGTGGCGTCGCCGCATGCCTGCAGCCACACGCAGTAGTCCGTCACGTAGAGGTCGTTGAGCACGTAGCGCGCGTCTCCCTCGCTCAGCAGGCGGTGCACGGCGAGCAGGCAGCGCAGCAGCGCGCCGCGTCCCAGCGCGAAGATCCGCGCGGCGTCCCGCGCCGCCGCCGCCGCCAACGCGAAGTGACGATGCAGCGGGAAGCAGAGGCAGCGGCGCGCGGTCGCCGTGACGACGTCGTCGACGCTCGAGAACGCGTCGAACCAAGAGAGCGTCGCGCTCAGCTTGCAGACGGTCCACGCAGACTCGGAGTTGCCGTCGCCGAGCGTGCATCGCGCGTCGTGCGCGTACGCCGTGACGACGTCGACCATCCCCAGCGATGCCGCCCGCGTCTCCTCGCCGTCCAGTAGGTGGCGCCGCGCGGGCAGCCGCAGCATCTGGTCGCGCTCCTCGTCCGTGAACTCCACCGCGGTGGCGCCCTCCTCCCACCAGGGTCGGAACGCGAGGATGTCGTCGATGTCGGCATTGTCGTGAAGGTCGTAGAGGTAGTGATCGTCACTGAACGCGTCTCGCTCCTGCTGCAGCCGCAGCGACCTCCGCGTGCAGAGGTCAAGGGCGTCGGGGTCAAGGACGTCGAACACGCCGACAAACTCTCCCGCCATCGCCGACAGCGCGCCCGACTTCTGGTTCGCGAATCCGTAACGGAACGCGGCGGGGAGCGGCGGTGCGTCCGTCGCCATGGGAACCTGCTCCACGAACCAATCCACCTCTTCCTCTTCCTCTTCCTCTTCATCGTTAGCTTCTCCGCCGATCTCGCTAATCGTCGGCCGCGCGTTGTTTTTCGTCGCCGGGGGCGCCAGCAGCTTCGTCATCATGTCCAGTCCGCGGAACTCCTCGCCCGGCGTCTCCTTGGGAACGCGCACGGTGAAGAACCCCGTGTCGACGTCGTAGTCCGCCGCCTCCCGTCCGTCCTCGACGAGCCGCTCATCGAAGGTTAGTCGCAGGAAGTACGGCGGAGACGCGAAGCGCAGCTCACAGCCGTCGACGCTGACGTCCGTCGCCGCGACCTTCGCGTACGGCGCGCGTATCCTCAAGGTCACGAAGTCCGCGTCCTGAACGATCGAGAATCGCGGCGTGAGCATGATGTCGACGATTCCGTCGCGTTCTCCTGAAATTGAAACGATGCTACGATGCAGAAGATGGGCGAATCCATCCAACGTGTCGTTAGTGACGCGCAATTAAAAACACGGAAACAGTGAGTGTGGTGTTTTCTTACAATTTAATATATGAATACATCAACACCATATTGAGAATTCAGTGGATCAAACATCCGTTAGTTTGTATGCAGTGATTTCTTCACACGAAAAACACAAAGCACATTAATAGTGGGTGGACATGATCATACAATGACGTAGAGTGTAAAAACATTTATTCTGCTCCACGTTACATCGAGATAGTGTTTAATCTGAAATATGTATGAAAAGTTAACCAAGCAGATGAATGAGCAATAGATAGAAATTTCTTACAGTATCCAGACAATAACAACAGGATTATAAACCTATGCTACTTGATACACAATTTTATGGGTTAATTTTACATCATCAGCAGCATCATTCTGCTGCCAAATGGAATGATCACACTTGAATATCCCACTTTCAATTGCTACAGCTATACATTACACAAGAAATGCCTACTATGTGGTATAAATTAAGCCGATTACTAATTCCTATAGAATTTTATGCAAGACTGTTCACAGGTAGACACATAATTTACACATGGTTTCACAAGACTGTTCCACAGGCAGACAGATAGGTCTCTAGTACTATCACGACTCCGTATCGAATTCTACACGTAAGTTCCACGTGCTACAAATAGAGTTCAGAATTATTATTAATTTAAATTGCATAAGGAGTCAATAAAAACAATTATCTTACCATAATTCATTCAACAAGTTGTTTTTATTCACTCCTGATTAAATTACATTCAAATTATTTGCTGAGGTCCAATATTTTGTGTAGGTATCACATGTACAGACATTGTTCCTACATGCCTGCCATGTTTGTTTTCGTGGTGAGTAACAGCGCTAACTAACAGCCGATCAGGAACCCTGCTCGCGCAGCTACGAAGGAGAAGGCGCGATCAGGAACTCCTCCGTGCCAGCTAAGAAGGAGAAGGCCGATCAGGAGCCTGCACGTCAGCTAGAAGGAGAAGCCGATAAGGAACCTTCCGTCAGCTAGAAGGAGAAGCTGATCAGAGAATCCCCTCCCCGTCAGCTAGAAGGAGAACCGATCAGGAACCCTCCGTCGCATAAGACAAAAAGAATCAGCTCCGTAGCTAGAGGAGAAGGCCGATCAGCGAACGCCTCCGCGTCAGTTAGAAGGAGAAGCGCGATCAAGGACCCTCCCGTCAGCTAGAAGGAAGAAGCCGATCAGGAAGATCCCTCCCGGCTAGAAGGAGAAGCCGATGCAGGACGTCCCGTCAGCTAGAAGGAGAAGCGCGATCCAGGAACCTCCGTCAGTAGAAGGAGAAGCCGATCAGGAACGGCCTCTCGACTCAGATAAAAAGAGAAGCCGATCAGGAACGCCGCTCCGCATAGCTAGAAGGGAGAAGCCGATCAGGAACCCTCGCCTCAGTAAGCGAGAACCATAGAACCTCCCGTGCAGAGAGTGCTGATTCAGGAACCCTCCCGTCAGCCTAGAAGGAGAAAGCCGATCAGGAACCCTGCCGCTTCAGCTAGAAGGAGAAGGCCGAATCAGGAACCTCCCGTCAGCTAGAAGGAGATGTCTGACAGGAACCCTGTCGCGTCAGCTAGAAGGAGAAGCCGATCAGGAACGCGCGGCGTCAGCATAGAAGGAGAACGATCAGGAACCCTGGGCCGTCAGCTAGAAGGAGAGCTGATCAGGAACCCACGCCGTCGCTAGACAGAAAGAAGCCGATCAGCGAAAGCCCTCCTCAAGCTAGAAGAAGACCGATCAGGAACCCACGCCGTCAGCTAGAAGGTGAAGCGCGACGCAGGAACGCGCTCAGCTAAGGAACCGCAGCTCCCCGTCAGCTAGAAGGATAAGCCGATCAAGACCTCCCGTCAGCTAGAAGCGAGAAGCCGATCCAGGAAGCCCTCCCGTCAGGCCTAGAAGGAGAAAGCCCGAAAATCAGGAAAAAAACGCCTGCCCGTCAGCTAGTAAGGAGAAGCCGATCAGGACGCCCTGCGTCCATGCTAGAAGGAGAAGCCGATCAGGACCCCACGTGCAGGCTAGAAGGAGAAGCCGATCAGGAAACCCTCCCGAGCCGCGCAGGCGGCAAGGAGGAGGCGATCAGAACTGCCGTCATCTAAAGGAGAGCCGACCGCCTGCCCCGAACCGCACCGTCAGCAACCGGCGTTGCGCTTGATGAAATCGATACCCTGCTCGAGGTACCGGTCCATCCGTAATTCTTGTCTAAAACGTGCCGAAGCGATGCTGTCCGCTTCGCCCGGTCCACCTCTCTTGCGTATCTTCCGCCTTGTTTGACGTGATGTAACCGCTTGTAGTGGCAGCAAGCTGGCACATCAGCAGCAGCGCCCGCCCCCGATCGCGCGCAGCCGTCCTTGCTCACCCTTGGCGAACACGGTATCCCTTCTCCAACGCCGCACGACGCGCTAACGCGCGAGTTGCTTCGGCCACGGGAGCGGTGGTGATGTCCGCGCCGACGTATCGGCTCGATCCAGTCCTTGTTCGCTAGGTCGGGATGTCCAACACCGTCGAAAGATTGTCGTCCTCCGGAAGACGAAGGTAGCATCGTGCGGAGGGGCACGAGGCGTTAGCGGACGGTTTCGACCGTTATGGCGGTCGTCGGCGAACGTCCACGAATCTGATTATTATCGAGGAGGCGCTACCCGGGGGAGGTAGCGTTGAAACTTGTAGCATGCTCTGTGTATCTGCAGCCGAGCGCGTGCGTCACGAGAAATCGCTCGACCGATCTCCCGGTCAGCGAATAAAGCAAAGGCTTCTCCTTGGCGAGAACTGAAAATTTACGGGAAATAATACAGTTTTGTTGAATGACAAATATTATAACTCCAGGCATATATCTAACTATATATATTACTGATATAACCTACTAAAGGACGTATTTTATTAATAATGGAATGCGATATACGGCATAGAGAACGCTACCGTGGAACACCGCGACGCGCGACCAGGTGTTGCAGCGGCAGGGCTCGAATTAAGCGACGAGAAGGGCAAGCAATTTTTTTTAGGGCATGTGAAGAAATCGCCTTGAATTTTCCCTAAAATAGAAAGGCACAAGGAACTCTCAAAAATATTGGAGAAAGGGCACCAAGGTCAGCTTTTGTAAAATTAAAGGAATACTCATAAGCAAATAAGTACATCAAACATGCGTCTTACATTTTAATGTACAAAACAATATGCACCGCATGTAAGCTTACACGCTTAACACTGACCCCTGTACGCCCATCTCTGGCTATGGAAGTACAGTAAACAAGAAATTTAGACATGCCGCTATCAGGAGCAAATAGTATTATCCCGATTCTGTATTATTCCCATCGCTGGACTATCGTTTTTAGGCTCATCATTGCAACTACAGCAAGCACGCGGCACGTGTTATGTTGATTCGACTAAAAACAAAACTAGGGCAGTAGATTAAAGGGCACCGACGCAATTACCAAAAAGGGGCAAGAGCTCGGTGAGCTGCCGTTCGGTCGGTTGGATTTTCAGGGGCAGTACGGCGATTGATTAGGGGCCACGACGGGCAATTGCCGTCGGTGCCTTCGGTTTAAGTTGAGGTGTTGCGCGGGCGTAGCACGCCTACCGACATTTGCGCGGGTGTTGATCAGCTAAAGTATGAGCCCCCACGCTCGGCGGACGCGAAACCAAGGTGTAAGCAGGCGTAATGCACGCTATCCGTGTGGTAGGTTGTTGGCTAAAGGTTCGAGGCACACGCTGCGCTGCGAGCAGGTGTTGGCAGTGTATGCACGCTACCCAGCGGGTGTTGATGCTAAAAGTCGAGGGCCAACAGCTCGCGCGCGACCAGGTTGTTGCAGTGTATGCACGCTACCTGCGGCGTGTTGATGGCTAAAGTCGAGCCGCACGCTGCATGCGACGCACAGGTGTTGCAGCGTAATTGCACGCTACCGCGCGGTGGTTGATGGCCTTAAAGTTGAGCCCCACGCTCGCGCGGCCACAGGTGTTGCAGGGTATGCACGCTACTGCGGGTTGTTGATGGCTAAAGTCGAGGCCACACGCTCATGCGACACAGTGTTGATGTCAGCACTGCGCGATCTTTCTACGCTGGCCGTCTCTGCGATCGATAAATACTGGTGTCGCGGTCTCAGCGGCAGCGTATTTCGC